TGGGCTGGGGGACGGGGTGGGGGCGGGGTGGAGCATTCGGGGAACACAGGGCACGAAATAACAAGGAGAAGAAATGAAAACCGAGCAACATTCTGGAGGAAAACACTGCTAGAGGTTCGATTGTCAGTTTCATTCACAAATTTATGAAAAGTAAAAAAAAAAAAAAAAAAAAAAAAAAGAACAATTTCAGCGCCCCCTGGTGGAGACGCCAGTTACCTAGGCTGTCCCACCCCCAGGGCCCCGTGTACACAGAAGGCCACACCTGTGGCCCCCAGGCCCAGACTTACTCGGCCCTCAGGATGGGGGGGTTCACTCCCTCTGTGCATGGGGTCATCTGAAGCCCGCGCCCTTCCCCAAACCCCTTCTCCCAGGGCATTTGGGGTGGCAGTCAGGCTTAGGGAGGGCACTTGGTCTCCCCACAGACTGACCCACAGTACACCTCGGTGGTGACAGAGAACATCAAAGCCTTGTGAGTACTGACGGACCCATAAAACTGGTGGGGGGGGAGGGGCTCTGCAGAGTGTGGGGCAGGCAGGTGCCTGCTTCCCCTACATGATCCTGGCTTCCGATGTGGGAAAGGGGGCTACCTCTCTTCTCTGAAAGACAGTGAGTGTGTAGAGGTGGCCCAGCCCCCTGGAGCCTCACTGCCTCCTTAGGGTGGGTGTGCTGTTGGGTGATGGCTGCCTGGGGGGCCTGAGCAGAGGGACTGGGTCCAGCTAGCTCAGCACTGCCCCAACTGCTGTGCCTGGAGACTGCCCACCCACTGGCCTTCCGTCCCCCCAGGTTCCCCACGGAGATCCATTCCGGGCTCCTGGAAGTCATCTCCCCTTCCCCCCACTTCTACCCTGACTTCTCCCGCCTCCGAGAGTCCTTTGGGGACCCCAAGGAGAGAGTCAGGTACGAGAACTCCCCCCTTCCCTGTGCACCCTGACCACCTGCCCACTGGTGCTGAGAACCCGGTCTGTGGGTGCCCAAGTCCCAGGCATTTCCTGGCAGTGCCTCCGTTTCTCCATCAGAGAACCCCTGCATGGGGTTGGGGTGGTGGGTCTGAGCTCCTGAGCCCCTGCCCCTGCCTTGCAGGTGGAGGACCAAACAAAACCTCGATTACTGCTTCCTCATGATGTATGCACAGTCCAAAGGCATCTACTATGTGCAGGTCAGCACCGAGACCCTGTTTTGCCCCCGATCGGCCCTGGCCCCTGGTGGTGAGCCCAGCCCCACCCCAGTGCCCATCCTGAGTCCAGCCCCCCTTCTACCCACCCCTGTGCAGCTGGAGGATGACATTGTCGCCAAGCCCAACTACCTGAGCACCATGAAGAACTTTGCACTCCAGCAGCCTTCAGAGGACTGGATGATCCTGGAGTTTTCCCAGCTGGGCTTCATTGGTGCGCCCCTCCACCCCACCCCATGCCACGGACCTGACCAGGGCCCCTCAGTCTGGGCGACCTTGGCCTCTCTGTCCTTGTCCCTGCAGCCCTGGGACCACAGAACATCATGCTTGCGAGCTTTGCCAGGAGTGTCCCCTGCAGCCGCAGCTGGCCTGTTTCCCCTCGCCCTCTACCTCAGGATGTTGGGGCTCACCACACCCATCTGTCCCCTCGTGCCTGCCCCTGCCTGTAGCTGGCCATGGGGCTTGCTGTGGGAGCCTTCTTAGTGACCCCACACACACACACCCAGCACCCCTTTCCCCCTTTCCACCCCCAGGGAAGATGTTCAAGTCGCTGGACCTGAGCCTGATTGTGGAGTTCATCCTCATGTTCTACCGGGACAAGCCCATTGACTGGCTCCTAGACCACATTCTGTGGGTGAAGGTCTGCAACCCCGAGAAGGATGCGGTGAGCAGGAACAGCACCAAGGGCGGGGCAGGGCAGGGGGAGGCACGCAGCCTCCAGCATGGACTGACACAAGGAGACAGCCAAGCTGGGCCCTCAGCTATCCCTATCCCTCTGCAGAAGCACTGTGACCGGCAGAAGGCCAACCTGCGGATCCGCTTCAAGCCATCCCTCTTCCAGCACGTGGGCACGCACTCCTCACTGGCTGGCAAGATCCAGAAACTGAAGGTGGGCTGTGCCACCCTTGGGCCTGGCTGGGGACAGGCAGAGCCCCAGGGAGCTGGGGAGGGTGGCTGGGGGTGGCAGGGCAAGTCCCCCTCGAGAGGGGGCCCTCTCTAAGTCTGCTGTTCCTCCTCGGTGGCAGGACAAGGACTTTGGGAAGCAGGCACTGAGGAAGGAGCACGTGAACCCACCGGCCGAGGTGAGCACAAGCCTCAAGACATACCAGCACTTCACCCTGGAGAAGGCCTACCTGCGTGAGGATTTCTTCTGGGCCTTCACGCCTGCGGCCGGGGACTTCATCCGCTTCCGCTTCTTCCAGCCGCTGCGCCTTGAGCGGTCAGTGCTGGCACCCATAGCTCCACCCCGGGGGAGGGGCAGGGAGACCACCAGGGGATCGGCCTCACCATATGCCCCTCTTGGGCCCCCAGCAAATGACTTAACCTCACCTTGCCTCAGTGTCCTTATCTGAAGAGGAAGGTTCAGCATGGTAGGTACTAAGAATAAGGCAGTGCCCACAGTAGCTCTGTGACAGTGGCCCATCATCTTCGTCCCTGGTTGCCTTGTACAAAACAACGTCTACCCCCCTGGGTGGTCCCCCGCCTGGCTCAGCACCCCAGGGCTCACCTGCTACCCTCCTGGGCCAGGTCTGGCCTTTTCTGTGCCAGATGGGGGCCAGGGCTGCACCCCCACCCCTCTCCCTCCCCCACCCCTCCCCCACCCCGGCAGCAACTCACAGGCCTGTCTGGCCGCAGGTTCTTCTTCCGCAGCGGGAACATCGAGCACCCAGAGGACAAGCTCTTCAATACGTCAGTGGAGGTGCTGCCCTTCGATGTGAGTGCGGCAGGGGAAGGATGTGCTGGAAGGCCGGCCCCTCCCATGGCCACTGGCTTCAGCCCCTTTCTGTTGCCCCCCAGAACCCCCAGTCAGACAAGGAGGCCCTGCAGGAGGGCCGCTCAGCCACCCTCCGGTACCCTCGGAGCCCTGACGGCTACCTCCAGATAGGTGAGTCGGGGGCAGGCAGGAGGACACGGGGGCTGGGGGGATGGGGCTGGGCTGAGCGGAGGTCTGGGGCTCCTGGCTCAGCGCTGCCCTCCCTCAGGCTCCTTCTCCAAGGGTGTGGCAGAGGGCGAGGTGGACCCTGCCTTTGGCCCCCTGGAAGCACTGCGCCTCTCCATCCAGACGGATTCCCCAGTGTGGGTCATTCTGAGCGAGGTAAGCCGGGCAGGTCAGGGAGCCAGACCAGGGCTGAGCGCTGAGGCCCCCCGCACCTCGCTGACCCCGAGCCCTGCTCTTCTAGATCTTCCTGAAAAAGGCCGACTAAGCCGAGGGCTTCTGAGGGTGCACTATGGCCGGCCCTGAAGCCCCCTGGGAGACCCAGGATGTTGTCGCTGCTGCCCCGGAGGGCCCGGTGCCGCCGCCGCCCCAAGCCTGAGGGGTTCTGCCCGGCGCCCCGCTCCGCAGGCCTGGGATCCCCGCTGGCCCGGAGGCCCCAGGAGCTGGTGCTGCCCCCGCCCGCCCGGCCGCGGGAGGAGGCAGGCGGCCCCCACACTGTGCCTGAGGCCGGCCCTTGCCGCCCGGAACCGTTCGCATCCCCGGCCGGATCGAGCCAGGCCGTTTTAGAAGAGCTTTTTCCTGGGCGCCCGCTGTCTCCGGCGCGAACACTGGAATGCATATACTACTTTATGTGCTGTGTTTTTTATTCTTGGATACATTTGATTTTTTCACGTAAGTCCACATATACTTCTATAAGAGCGTGACTTGTAATAAAGGGTTAATGAAGCGCGTGCCTCCGGTGTGAGTGCGCGTTCCCAGAGCTCCGGCCGGTGGCGGGAGGCCGGGCGCCAAGCAGTGCCGCCGGTGCCCGCGGCCACCTCGGCCCGTCGCGCCGCGCAGCTCCGCACGACCTCGGCCGCGCTTCCCCGAGGGCCCGGGCCTCCAGAGCGGTGACTTGCGGGTGGAGGCGGCGCGGAATCCCGGGTCGGGAGCCCAAAGCCTCCTCTGCTTCCGGACGACCTCCCCCGGCCCCCGCCAAGCACGCCCCCTAACACCCATCATCCCGCCGCAACTGCCTGCTCCTCTCAAACGCGAGGCATCCCGGATCTCCCACTTCGTGAGTCCCAGCCCTGCTCTAGTCTTCGGTCCCCAAGGCCCCGCTCACCCAGCCACGCCCCCCACCCCCGTATCGGACATATTTTAGGGTCTCCCGCCCATGTTGGGGCCAGTGCACGCGCGGCTGCCCTGCCTGGAAAGCTCCTCTCTTCTGCAGACTGGGCTAAAAAATCTCCTCTTTAGGGACGCTGTCCGGCCAGCAGGCCTTGCCCAGGTCTGGTCACCCAAGGCACCCGGGCGTCCCTCCCCCGCCCCCCAGAGCACCTGTCACAGCTACGTTGCCTGCACTGGTCGCCGCCCCCACGGCTGGGCGCCAGGGTGCCTGAGCATCTACACAGTGCTGGACGCCAGGCACCGAGTGCTGACCCGAAAATGGCCCTGGTGTCAGCTGTGAAAGCCAGGGGACGAGGAAGAGGGCGGCGGGGGGTGGCAGTGAAGAGGCAGCAGGCCTCAGAGGAGGGGACAGGCGAGGAAAGCGTTGAACGCAGGGAAGAGGAGCCGTGGGGTGAACCCCGGCGAAAAGGGCGGCCCCAGGGCCGGAGAGAGGGCCGGAGAGGGCCCTGTCCTTCCGCAGCACCCCACCCTCCGGGAAGCCCACCGGCCGCCGCGGCTCGGGGCTGGGCTCCACGGCACGCGACGCGCGAACCCCTCCGACCCAGAGAATGCGTCCGTGGTCCAGCCATCGACACTTTAATTGGAGACTGAGATGGGGCGAGCACCCCTCCCCTGTCCTCCCGGAAGCTCCGGCCCTTCTCCGGTTCCGCTGACCAGGCGTCCTCCATCTCAGGCCCTGGGCAGCAGCTTCCCGAGCCGTCCCAGGAGCGCGGCGCGCAGCGCTCAGGGGAGAAAGTGGACGAGCAGGCCGAGCGCCGCGAGCGCCAGGAGCAGCCAGAGCGCGAGCGCGCTCGCGTACAACGGGGTCAACCTGCGGGCGGGGCTCAGCGGGGGCGGGGGGCCGGCGGCCCCGCCCCGCCCACCTGCCCGGGCCGTCAGACCCCGCCCACAAGGCCCCCGCCCCGCCCCGTCCGATCTCCACTTCCTCGGCCCCTGGCGCCCTCCCACGATCCCCGCCCGGGTCCTCACCTTTGCTGCGCCGAGCGCGCGTAGCCCTGAAAGTAGCGGAGGCGCGCGAAAAGGTAGACCAAGCCGCACAGGGCCGCCGTACCTGGGGGAGGGCGGGCGGGGCAAGGTGAGCCGACGGGCGCGGAATCCGGGGCTGCGGGGTGGGCGCGCCTGTCCCGAGCGCAGACCTTCGTGAAAGAAGATGCCGGCGACCCAGAGCGTGGCCAGGAACAGCGGGAAGTACTCGCTGCAGTTCACCCTGCGGTGGGGGCGGCATGAGGGCGCCGACAGAGGCGTGGGGGGCGCTCGGACCCTGCCGCCTCCCGGGCTCGCTCCCTTCCGGCCCCGATCCCTCCCGCCAAGTCTCACTGGGCTCGGTAGACGCGTTCGAACTCCGGCGGCCCGGTGGTGAGCGGCGGAGACACGCTGAAGGCTCTGCGCGCGGAGATCACCTGCAGGGAGAAATAGGCTGGGGGCGAGAAGGGGCGGGAGTCAGGTCTGGCTGCCCGGAGGCCCGCACCCTCTGTCCGTTCCCACCTTTTCTCCGCCCTCTCCACGCCGACCTTGTCACGACTCCCCTTTAAAGCTCTCCTGGAAAATAAAGGCCAGCCAAGAGGCTCTCTCGCCCCCACCCCTTGTTTCTGGGCCCGCCCTGTATTTAAGATGCTCAAGAGGGGGACAGGGTGAGGGCCTGGGATGCCAAGAGGCCCTGTCCCCCCACCCCCTCCCCACCTCCCCAGACACATCTGTACCGGGGAGGGACCGGAAGCTCAGGTCTGGAGCTCAGGAGCTTGGCTCCTGAGTCCTTTGACTTGCAAAACACAGGCAGATGACTAGCTCCTACTCTTTAGACACGGACCTTGACTTTGGGGGTCCCTGAAGAGGGCACACAACTGGGGCTTGAGGGCAGAGGTAGCTCATCCTTCCAGGTACAGGAGAGTATACACTCTGCGGTCTACAGTTTCTGGTCCCCACCTACAGGGCCCACTGGGCGGGGAGGATCTCTTGACCCTACATCAGGCCAGTTTCTCAGTTCACGTGTTCTGGACCCCAACCTAAATCTGACAGACATTCCCTCCCCTCTCTTCAGGTGGTTGCTGCTGGGACACTTCTAGTCCCACCCCAGGCCTCCTGGGGCTCTGTCTCCCTCCATTTCAGCATGGGTGGCTGTGGAGGGTGGGCTGGCCCCAGAGGATCTGCATGCACAGGGTCCCCACCACACACACAGCTCCGGTGCTGGTTGTCACCAGCTGTCTTCCAGCAACTCCTGTGGCCTTGGTGCCCTTGGTGCCATATACCTTCCCAGCTGCCCTGTGGTGCCGAGGGCATGCGTACCATCAGTGTAGGACCTGGAGGAGGCCCTGTGGCTGCATGAGGAGGGCTAAGAGACAAGCTTGCTCATGAAGCAGAAGATCAATTCAGCCCCCCAGCAGGGCCCCTGCCCAGGCTATGCCTTGTCCTAGCCCCTACAGCATGGGGTCACGGTGTCCCAAGTGGGTCCCAAGGATACCTAGCCTGGGAATGTGTCCTCTAGGGCTGGCCTAAAAGGCCAACACACAGGCCCCTTTGGGAGCTCAGGGAGCAGGTTCCAACCCTGTCCAGCTCTATGTGGATCCCAGCATAGAGAGGATGCCTTTGAAGGCAGAGCTGGATTCTCCTGGGAACCCCAGCAAGAGGACAGTGGGAGAGGAAAAGGGAGGGAGAGGACGAGGACAGGATCCGTTGGAGCAGGGCCGCACCAGGCCCACGGCTGCCCCTCTTCGAGACCACAGCGAGAACCATTTGAGCTTCTCAGTCTTCAACTGCGGCCAGAAGAGCTGGGGCCCCAGGACTCTGGGAGCTCCAGACTTTGCCTCTGCCCCTACCATCCCCCCCTCCCCGGGCCCTCCAGCCCCTCCCCAGGGTCTGGAGGGCAGAAGGCAGGCTTCAGGAGTTCAGAGCCCATCCACCTCCCCAAACAGGAGCCATCTCACCTTGCAGCAGGACTCCCAGGAGGGTGACAGTGGCCAGAAGAGCCACCTCGTCCTGCATGGTGCTGGCAGCTCTACAGGCCCAGGCTGGTGTGTGAAGAGAGTAACTGCAGAGTTCCTCTCAGCCCCAGTCCGCGGGCTCTCTCAAGAGGCTGGCAGGAAGGGAAGACTGGCCCTTCTCCCCGCCCCTTCTCAGGGGAGGGGCCTGCGGGAGGGGCGTGACCACAGCCAGTGAAAGGGCAGAAGCCTGAGCAGGCAGAAACCAGGGCCAGACGGAGCCCAGGGAAGGATGGAGCAGCGGCCTGGGGGCAGCCTGGCCACTTCCTCCCAATCATTGTTTTGTTTTGTTTTGTTTAAGATTTTACTTATTTATTTGAGAGAGGGAGAGCATAAGGAGAGGGACAAGTGGACTCCACACTGAGCGTGGAGCCCTATGTGGGACTCAGTCCCATGATCCTGAGATGACCTGAGCCAAAACCAAGAGGCAGAGGCTTCATGGACTGAGGCCCCACCAGGCGCCCCTTCCCGGTCATTCTTGCCTCTTCTGTGCCTAGCTTTGTGCTGGCAGAGCTCCAGGCATCTGCCCGAGCCTCCTGCAGCCTTGCGTGGGCCTGGCTCCCTTGTCCACCCAGCGTCCTCCAGACCCTGCACCCACAGCAGTCCCCGTTGGCTTTCCGGACCTCCCCTTGTCCTGAGTCTGGTCCCAGGAAACCAGAGGGTCCTCCCCAACACCCCCCCCAACCCCCCCATTCGGCTATCACTTTCCACTGACCATCAAGTCCTTCTCATTCTCAAATCCACCCCGTGCCACCTTCCGAGCCCTGCCCTGCCTCAGTCGTCTCTCATCGGGGCACAGGTCACGGGATCCCCGAGGGTTCCCAGCCCCACCCCACCCCCACCCATACATGCTCACATACCTGTTTCCCCCACCGCCCAACCAGGGCTGTGATGGAACATGGAACCCTGATGCAGGACTGTCCCCGCACCCAGACCACACTGGGCACAGCCACGTCCCTGCTCCCCTCAGGAAACCTGATGTCTGCCAGCTTCACAGCTGCCTGGGCTCTGTGCACACAGACCACCAGAAGACGACCCTGCTAGCCTGGCACGGTGGGTCAGACCCCTCAGGATCCTTGAGCCCATCCTCTCCTGGGGCTCTGACCCTAGCTAGAATGGTCATCTGCTGTTTCCACCTGCCCAACGTCCCCCACTTGGGGGATCCCAACCCTTCATCTTCCCAGGTCCTATGGTGTGGACAGGGCTGCCTGCCACCCCTCCCAGGCCTGAGGGATGGACATGTGAGTCAGAACTGACTGTGCTGGCCGAGGCTAATTCAAGAGGGTGAGATGCAGTTCTGGAAACTTCCTTAGAACTTTGGGAAACGGAACTCTGGGGGGGAGGAAGATTTCTAAGGGCCCTTTATGGCCACTGGCCACCCCGAGGAGGAGAGAGCCAACACGAGGCCACACTGGGAGGAAGGAGGTGGCTGATGTCCTGGAGCCCCAGGGCCAACTTGCCCAGAGCAACCCTCTAGCCGGGCAGCCTTGCCATTTCATAAGGCAGCCACTTCTTCCCTTGGGTAGGGCTGGTTGGAGCTGGGTTTGGTCAACAATGGCAGAGCCCAGCCTGATAGGGGCACATGGGCAGGGGCTGACAAGGCCGCACACACAGGCAGGCCCGGCTGCAGGAGGGATGAAGTGGCCAGGTCCTTGGGGCAACCGCCTCTGCATTTAGTCCTGGGCCGTTGTGAAACCCTGGCACCCTCTGCCTGGTTGCTCTGGGGGAGTCTCCACATGTCAGTGTCCTGGGACCCCAGGAGCTCTGTCCTTGCCACCTAGTGTTGTGGTGCATGGAAATGAAGTTCTCAGTCACCAGCCTGAGCAGCTGTGCTGGGCCGCCTCTGCCAGGGAGAGCAGCTGCCGCTGAATCCCGCACAGAGTTTTTATTTTTGTTTTTTTATCAGAAAGCAAGGACAGATGTCTCCAACCATGGAAAGGAGTACAAAGGGGCAAATATCTTCGCTAGGCATAGGCACTCAGGGAGTCAGTCCTGGGATAAGGGAGGAGCAGATGTTCGTGCAAGCAATCTCCAGGTACAGAAAGGGGAGGCTGAGGTTACATTCCTTCCTAGCTCGTAACTCATGCCCTGTGCCTGGGGATCATGGGATCCTGTTCCCACCGGGCCACTGCACTCAACAGCTGAGAACAGGACCACAGCTGACACTCACCCCTTAGGGCTTACGATATATTTTCTAAGAATAATTCCACAGTTCCCCCTTGCCTTGACAACTATAATGAGAAAGGAGATCATTAAAAGCAGTATGCCCATGTCAAACCGAGAGTAGAAATTGAACCCAGGGAACCAATTTTTTTTCTGGACTGAGCACACAGAAACGTCCCTGACATTCTTCATGATAGCCTGTTGACTTCCCTGTAGTTGTGCTTATACCTAAGTTTCAAATTTTCAATGGAGAGATTCAAAGAGGAGGAAAAGGCTTGATGAAGATGAGTCTTCAATTGCCCCCAAGTCTGGTTATAGGGAATTGAAGTAACTCAGCAGGAGGAAAGAGTAAGGAGTTCGCTGGGATCTGGTCCAGAGTGCTTGGGATCTAGCGCCTCCTAGCCAGACAACAGCGGCCTTGAGAGCCTACCATGTAGCTAAAATGTGTGGCTCGACCTTGACCCGTTCTTCTAAATTAGATGTAGTGTTTTGCATATATGAATGCATTTGTCGTGCAGTTTGGAGATAGAAAAGATGCGGCAGCAATGGCCGAAACAGCAGCGATGGTTAAAACGGCTGCTAATGGGATACCTATGAACATATTTGTTCTTTTTCTCTCTCTTATAAAGCATAGACCAGTTATTATAGGCGAGATCCCCCCTTGCCATGGCTCGGACAATCGGACTGAGAGCCAGGCTTGGGCTTAAAGGACAGAAAATGCTCCAATAAAGCCTTCTTGTTTGGGGGCTTTCTATAACCTTTTTTTTTTTTTTTTTTAATGGAAAAGGAGGCACTCTCTCCAACAGCTTTATTTTCTGCCCTCAGAGAGGGTGGAGGATGAGGCAATTTATTAGGGGATAATGTTGGAGCCTCTGGTGGGGTGCTAGGGGCTGTTGTTGCAACTGGGGACGGTGGGGGCCAGATTTGAAAGGGGGAGGAATAAAGTCCTGCCAACTAGTTTTAGCTGTTTTTCTTCTGCAAAGAGTAGATAGCAATCGTGTAAAGATTCCATGGATCCGAATGAGAAATTTTAAGAGGACCCAAAGTATCTTTTAGCCTTTTGCCCATGTGTTCTCAGTCTTCAACTGAAAGAGCCTTCAGGCAGGTGCCCTAGGCAATGTTGATATATTACAGACAACAGCTGTGTCGAATCTTCATTCCTTCGCATCCTATAGAATGTAGCGGTATATGTAGCTGTGTTTTATGAGAACCTGTTCCTTCCTTAAATATGTTCCCATGACTGACAGGTTTATAACAGACAGAAAAGTAGATCAGGACGAAATAGAAAGTAAATTCTGCACAAAATAGAGAAAAAATGAGGTCAATGGTTACTCCGTCACAGACATCGAATGCCTGTAGTTCCTACCTGAATGAGCGGACGTCCTTTCCCTTTCTAGGGCTTGAGGAGTGATGTGCAGACGAGGACTCTTACCAGATCCTGAAGATGTCCAAGCGCCAAATGTCATTGCGCACTGAAATAAAATTCTCAGTCACCAACCTGAGCAGCCATGCAGGGCTGCCTCTGCTAGGGGGATCAACCACCACTGAATCCCACACAGAGCTTTTATTTTGTTTTTTTATCAAAAAAGCAAGGACAGACGCCTCCAAGAGTGGGAAAGGAGTACAAAGGGGCAAAGATCTGGAAGTGGGCTTGCATTCTTCCCTACGCACGGGCAGGCACGGAGTCAGTCCTGGGATAAGGGAGGAGCGGATGTTCGTGCTAGCAATCTCCGGGTGCAGAAAGGGAGGACTGAGGTTACATTCCTTCCTAGCTTCTAACTCATGCCCTGTCCCCTGGGGATTGTGGGATCCTGCTCCCAGGGGCCACTGTGTTCAACAGCCTGAGAACAGGACTGCTGCTGACCCTCCCACACTCATCCCTTAGGGCTTACGATATATTTTCTAAGAATAACTGCACAACCCAGCTGGCCTCTTTCCTTGCTGCCCCACAAGCACGGGCTCTAGCCTGAGAGCTTCGTAGTCTGCTGGGCTCCCGGAGAGCCCCTTTCACCGCTCTCCTGGCCTGGCCAGTGCCCAAGGAATGCCCTTTGCCATCAGGGGGCGCTGCAGGCTCCCTGGCGACAGGGGTGGGGGCTCCATGCCAGTGCCCTGCTTTAGACCAGCTCTGCCAATTGCAGGAGTGGGCGCTCAGGGGTGGAGACGTGTCCTCCAGCTCGCTCACTCTCTCTCTGCCACTCAGCCCCCTTCCTCCCTGAAAGCGGTCCTGACCACAGCCCACTGCTCCGGCCTCCTCTCCCACCCCCTCGGGGACGACTGTGAGGACCATGCGTGTCTGTGGGCAGGCATGGTGTGTGTCCCTTGGGGCCTCTGTGCCTGTCGCGTGTGGGAGCTCACGTGTGTGTCTGTGGGTCTCCACACATTTCAGGGGATCCCTTCTGCCAAAGCCTCATTTCCTCTGAGGCCCAGACATCCTCCCCTCCAAGCCAATCCCCTGCCCTGGCAACAGGAAGCTGAGGCCTAGCCCAAGCAGCTTCTGAGGAAGTCCTTGGGCAGAGGTCCAGGCCATAACTGGGGTCTCCACCCCTGGAGCTCTCCCCAGGCCTTCTCATCTGCACCTCCCTCCCTGCCCTCGTCCAGCCTCTCAGGGCCCTGCCTGGGCTGGAACTGCTCCGGCTGACCGAGGTGTCGCCAGAGGCCCCTCTGGGCATGGCCACCCTCCTGGGCAGCCCTAAGGTGCTCATATCATGAAGGAAGTGGAAAAGCCCCTCCCTGAGCCCCTGCAGGACACGCCTCTGTGACCCTGGACCATTCCCTCTGTGCTACTTCTCCTACAGGGGCCCTGAGGAACATTCTGGAAGCTGAGCTCATCAAGGACCTCTGAGGAAACGAAGAGCCAACAGAGCCATTTTGTTGAGAAGAAACCACAACTTCAGAACAACAGATCATGATAAGCGTGAAGAACTCAGACGCTAAGCTAAATTTAAAAAGTAATA